TTGCCTTCTCAAAAAGCAAGGGGGAAAGACTGGTCTACTCTGTAAGAACGGTTTTTTGAAGGCAGATCTGCCTTCAAAAAACCGTTCTTACAGAGTAGACCAGTCTTTCCTCCTTGCAGGTAGGGTGCCTCCGTATTGCTCTCGACTTTGGGCATCGGTCTGACGTGTGTATTTTTTCCCGGCGAAGACGATCGAGGAGCATCTTGGGACATCTTGCGACGAGAAGCAAACGCACGAATCCGTCAAAGGCACGGGGAATAGACGCCCGAGCGATGGCGAGGACTGCACGGCGCCACAGTGGCCTTTGGTGCGGGCCCACCTGGGGCCCCCCGACCGCTGCATGCGATGCGAGCAGCGGCTTGTGCGCTTGGGTTTGCCCCCCCTTCCCCCCCCCGTCCCCCCCCGCGCCCCCCCTTACAGCCAAGCACCAAGGTTCACTCTTGCCTGGGGTCACCCCTGTGTGTAGGCGACTACTCCTCGAGCCTCCTTGATCCCACGAGGGCCAAAAGATGCTGATACCGCTGCTTGTGCTGGAGAGCCCCCGTCGCCTGTATTGATGATTTTGGGAATTCTGGCCAGAACGTACCACAGGAGAGGTTCAGGGAGTAGCAGTATCAGTATCCTGTTGTTTCCTCACCTCGATGCTGTTCCTCGGTCCCCCCTTTCGATCCTTCTCCTCGGTTCCTCCTTCGCGGTCTTCCCCGATCCTCATCGATCCTCCTTTTCCGCCTTCTCCGCCTTTTCGATCCCGCTCCTCGATCCCTCCCCTCCTCCCTCCCCTCCGGTCGAGGGATCGCCCTACTGCCTACATGAGGTTTCTATGAGTTCTCGATGTTTTCGAGGTTCGTGCTTTTCATACGTACTCGGAGGCTCCCAGAGGCTGCTTTCGAGCTCCTTCTTTTTCTGTATCTGTCTGCCTGAGTGTCTGTCTGTCTGTCTCTTTTTTTTGTTTTCTCTCTCTCTCTCTCCAGTCCCGGCTCGAGGGTTCTGACCCAGTGCGCAGCTTCGGCGCCTAGCGCCCCGCGGGCGCGGCCCATCCAAGGCTGTGACAAGTATAGGCGTCAAAACCGCTTCAGTTCCCGGCAACCCTAGCCACCAGGCGAGGGCCGCCGAAATACTCCCACTACCCGAGGGCAACCTAGATCGAAAAGAAGTTCCGCGTCGCCGCGCTGCGGAGCGGAGGCGGCGTCGAAAGAGCAGTCGCTGTTCACATCGAGCTCGCCCACAAACGCCAAACTGATTGCGGTGCCTTTTTCCAACAACGCCGCGCCGACCATGGAAGGTCCAGGGGCGAGCTAGCATCACCCCCATCACGCACAAAAGAGCTCCAGGGCGTGACCCAACACCAGCAGGGGCCACGGCCGGCGCCGAAAACCACCAGGGCAGAGGCACGGCCCGTCTCATGAACTTTGATGCGCAGAACTGGGATACGTCCTTCACCACAGCACCCAGAGGGAAAACAAAAAAAACATATATATATATATATATATATATGTGAGAAAAAAAAACGGTTGGTGATACTACGCCCTGCGCCCGCAGCGTCCCATTACACATGCTATAGGAAGCGAGCGCGTGCTCCAACAGATCTGCGCTCAGGACAAACGTCTGGCCCTTGCAGTTCTGGGGGCGCTCGACACGAATTACAACGGCAGAGATATGCAGATCCCAGTTCTGCAGCGCACGGCGAAAGCTACCAAGCCCACGCCTAGCCAGATCCAATGCACCATCTACCAATTCGGACGCGAAGAAGCCAAATGCTTCAACAACGTCGCGCAGGTCAAACTCGTCCTAGCCGACCGCGTCGCCGGGATCCGCGCGACCACTTGTGAGGCAGACGCCAAAGCTGTTACACTTGCACTCGAGGAGTTATCCACCGCTTAATTCTCAAGTGCAGCACCAATCAAAGGCAACCGCTGTCCAGGCGGACCAGGTGCCGCGCGGCGCAAGGCGAAGGGTCGCCAAACGCCGATCAAGAAGGACACTGCGCGCATCCAGGCGGACGATGACTTCGCCGATGCCTTCGCGGCCGCGTTCGCGCTTCGTTCGCGCTTCATTCCCGTGCCGTTCAAATCCAGGAAGAAATTGAACTCCTGGGGCGCCGCGGCGCATTTGTCGGGGGGCGGGCGGGACAGGCTGCCATCGGCATCGGGCCTGCAAGCGTCCTTTCGTCGCTCCCTGCCTCGGGCCCAGGGCGCGCCCAATGCGACGCCAGCTGCCGCCCATCCAAAGGGCCCCCACCCAGCGACTGCGCCGTGGCGCGGCGCGCTGACGGTCGCCGGACCGCGCTCCAGCAAACCTGCCCGCCCCCCGCCAATCACAACTCTTTCGGCGCAGCATGGGGGGGGGGGGGGGGGGGGGGCGAACGCATCGGCATCGGGGCAATGCCGGACGCCGAGGAGGCGAAACACATCGCCTTCGAACTGCGCGGCGCCGACGCCGCACTGGCCGAGGCCAGGAATTGCATGGCGGCTGCAGACCGCTACCAAGACGCAATCGCGGAGGTGCTCGCGTCCATCCAGTTGCATTGTCCACGGGCTGGGACAAGGCCACCAGGGGCGACGTCGCCAGTGTCAAGGCGGCCCGCTCGCGCGGGGGCCCGCCATCCCATGGGCCACTGCCAGGTGGAAGTCCAGATCCCCGGCCATAGCGGATCAACTGAAAAGGCCCCGTCGCCGCGATCGTCTCGTCGGAGACAGTCGCGACGGAGATGCCAGCGCCAGGGCCGCCCATGCCCGCGGGGTGGGGGGGTGGGGGGGGCAGGGAACGGCCGCTCCCCCTTCTCCGCGGGGCGGCCAGGTCGCCGGACTTTGCCTGCAAGCTCTGCGCCAACCGCGAGCGAGCTCAACGGCGCCCCCGCCGCCGAGCGCTCCGCGACCAGGGGGGGGCCGCGCGGCGCCGGCGAGATGGGCGCTCACAAACGAATCGCCAGCATGTAGGATTGGAAACCGCCGCGCCCTTTGACGACAGCCGCTTCGCCATTGAAAACGCCGCTGGCCGCGGCGCGGAGGGCGCGGCCGACGGCGTCAAAGACGCCGGCGCCCCGCCCCTGGCTGCTGGCAAGCAGCGTGTGGCAGCGAGCTTCGATCGGATCTCCGACGAGGACTGGCTTTCTCAGTCAGGCGCGCAAGGCGTCTTCGATCGCGTTGGCGCGCAGGTCGGGGGGCGCGAAGTTGACCGCCAGCGCGGCCGCCAGCCGCGTCGTCGCGGACGGCGCCGCCATCTCGAGCAAGGGGGCCTCGCGGTTCTAATTGAGCAGACCAGCTTGGCGCGGACCTGAGGGCCTTCATGCGCCGAGTGACTTTTCTCGTCGCGATGGCCCAAGCCCGAGCGGCACTACTAGTCCCAGATCTGGCAGACACGGCATGCCCCAGCGGGCCCGCCCGCCGCGACCAACCCTAGGGACTTACCGGGCAACCAAGATGCGGGACGAGGCGCGCGCGCGCGCGCCCGAACCAGAGGGCCTCGGGCCGCCCGGCCCCCCTCGCCGGGGCCGCAGCGGCGGGGCCTCGCCGGGCCCCCGCTGCCCCATCGCGGCAAATCGCGCAGAGAAGCTTCCATGCTACATGATCCCTTGCAGGGGCAGGACCGCGGGATTTGCAGTGGCTGGCGTGGATTTTGCCGCGCGCGCATTGCTGCCGGCTGCCGTCGCCGCCCCGGGCGCGGCCGCGATTTTCTCTTGCTTGCCATCTTGCTCGCGGCCGCCGCCCGCGGCGATTGGCCCGCAGACGTTCGGCCGGGCGTCCGCGCTCCAGCGCCCGCCAGCGAGCGTTCGGCCTCTCACGTGCCCCGCGCCCATGGGAGCTTTCGCGCGCGCGCGCGGGCGCTGATTGTTGGCGCCCTTCTAGGTGGCCCAGCGCTTGGGGCACCAGTCCGAAAGCGCCGATATGTCCCGCGCAGTGCCCCTGATTGCGGAGCACAGTAGTCTATGTATCCATTTCTCTGGCGACGGCGACGCGCATCGTCGCACAGCTCTCGCTGCTTCGCCCGGGCCCCCGCGTCGCGGACGCGGTCGCCGCCGAGAGCTGTGCTCAGACGGATGACGACCCGGGCCCGTCGGATCCAATGGCTGCATGGGGCCTTCGCCAGGCGCGGGACATGCGCCAGCTCCGCCAACGAAGCAAGCGAGGTTCTGGCGGGCAAAAGCGCCATGTCCAGGGCCACGGCCGCGCGTCCAGCTGTCCAACCTGCTCCTGCGTCGCCGGGGCGGCCTAGTCACGGCGCAATACTTGCGGGCGCCAGCCCGCTAGTTACGACGCATCCACGCCACCGAGCTCAAGACGAACGCATCAAAAGGTCGAGGGGCGCCAGCTTCGAAACCAACGACCACGGAAACAACGCTGAAAGCCCCATTCGTGGCCCCGATGGAGACGGGCGCCCTGCCGGCGACCCCGCCGAGGACCCCGATGACGCGGGCGGGCGGTGCCGGGCAGAGGTTGGCAGACCTGCGCTGGCCGCTCCTGCTTGGCCGCGCGCGGGGCGCTGCCGCTGCGATCCGGTCGCCATGGGGCCAAGTCCGCGACGCCCTCGCAGAGAGGATGGACACGTGCATGGGCCGCGCCATGGATGATTTTCTTTTCCGCGCCCCTCATTCAGCGCCCTGATCCGCCGCCAGCGACGCGGCAACGCCTGCGAAGGGAAGACCGCAAACCCTGCGCCCCGCGGCTTGGCAGACCCCCGTCTTTCCTGGGCCCGCGAACGACGCGCATGTTCTAGGGCATCTTACCCAGGCCGCGGAGCCTACGGGGTCACGCGCGGGCGGCGCCTCCAAGCAGAGCGGGGGCTGCGCCCGCGGCAACGTAGCCGCCGGAGGGAACGCCTCATGCTGCAGCCGGCATCTGCGCCAGGGCTCACCGGGGCCCGATCCAACCTTCACCGCTTGGCATCCCGCAGGTCGCCCCCGCGCGCCAGCGCGAATGCGCGCGCCCCTCGCGCCGCCCCCCCCCCCCCGCCCCCCGCGACGTCTGATGTCGCGTGGGCTCGGGCGCTCGGCCGTTCCAGAACAACGGTTGGACGCAGAAGCGTGCCCTCGGGCCGCGCGCCCTCGACTCCGCGACGCGGCGGGTCATTGGGAAAAACCCTTTCTGCGCCTGCGGCGGCGGGGGAGGGGCCTAGGCCGCCCCCGCGGGCGCGAGCTGCCGGGGGGGGGGGGGGGCGAGCGGCGGCAAGGCCCGCGCTGCAGCCAGCCCGCGCGCCGCGGTTCTGCGCGGCCGCCCCGCGCAGGGCCCGGCGGCTGCCACTGGGGCCGTTGTATGCGGTCACCAGGCCAACGACCAGCCACCCCCCGCGACTGTGCCTAAGGCGCAGCTGCGACCTTCCCTCTGAACGCCCGCGGGCCCACAGAGGCACGGGCCGCGGGCCCCACGAGGCCCACGCTGCAGCCAGGCCTTTCGCCGCCACGGCGGCCCAACTGGGGGCGCTCATTGTGGCCGCCGCGCCAACAATCCAGCCAGTTCCCGCGGCGTCGCTCAGCGCGTCGCCCTCCGTCGGAGCGCCCAGGGGCTCCCGGGGGCATCGGCCGCGGGGGCCACTGGGCGCGCGCTGCTGCCAGACCTAGACCTTGCCGCCGTCGGTCACTATGCCCACCCCGCCGATGGTCCGCCGACCGCCGAGGGAGCCGATCAGTTTGGCCGCCAGGCCACTACTCCAGCTGGCCCCCGCGCAGCCGCCCCAGGCGCAGTCCGCCGGGGCCCGCCCGCTGACGCTCAGGCGCGCGGGCCCCGGGGGCCGCCGGGCCCGCTGTGCAGCGTGCCCTCTGGCGCTGTCCTTTGCGACCCCTGCGACGGGCGTCAGCCGATTGGCGCGGGGGGTTCTCAGGCGGGCCACCAGGCAACTCCGGTTAGCGGAAAAAGCTTCTGTCCACCCGCAGTCCCGTCCGGCCCCCGTCCACGCGAGCACGCAAGCTGACTCGTCGCTAGCCCGTGGACTCCTGGGGCGCCGCCTCGGAGCCGCTGCCGAGCGCCCCCGGAAGGCTCCGACGAGCGGCGCCGCCGTGGCCCATGAGCGGACCGCGCCCACATTCGCATGGTGATCTTCCAGCTGGCAACCTGGGCGCCGCTGCGAGCGCAACCCCCGCGCCAGGGGTCGCGCGGGGGCGCCTGCAGCAACCGCCGGGCTCGCTACTCGCGTGCTCCGAGCGCCGCGCGCAGATGGGGGCGCTGGCGGCCCCCCCTGCCATGTCGCCCCTCAGCACTTAACCGTTCGGTTGCCAGCGCCGCTTCGCCGGGGTCGTAAAGGCGCGCCAGGGCCGGCGCGTCGGCGGGCGGGGCCGACGCGCCGGCCGCCGACGCTGGCCTCGCCCCTTGCCCCGCGCGTCTGCAGCGCCGAGGCGGCGGTCGCAGGCCGGGGGCGCGACCGCGCCGGCGGCCGCCGCGACGCCGCCATCGACAGAACGGGGGAACATTGCAAGTGCGGGGGCCCAGCTGACCAGCGGCAACACTGCCCGCCTCCGCGCGCCCAGCTTGATGGCTGCATGGCCCCCCATGCGAGGAGAAGCCCTTCGACGCCCTGCCGCCGACCAGCAGACTTGCGGCCGATGACCGACTGCGCCCGTCCGCTGCCCGCGCGACGATTGCCCGACGACCGCCTGGCGACAGTGCGCCGACGCCCGCCGCCGACAGCTGCATAGCGAATGTCGACCGACTGACGCGCGCGCCCGACGATCGGGCAGACCCATGCCGGCGCCGCCCCACCGCGGTTCCCAGCGACCCGCCCGCCGAGTTGCCGACGAGCGCCGCTGGCGCCTCCCAGCGGGGCCCCCAGGCCCGCGCGGCAGCCAGACTACGCGCCGCCGCGCGCGCGCCATCCCCCCTGCTCCGCGCTGCGAAGGGGTTGGGTGCTTATCCTCCCGATGCGCGCCCTACTTTGGGCGCTTCTTCGCGGTCTCGCCTAGCTGGCCGCCGCCACTCGACAGCGCGCTGCCGCCGCGGCAACGACAAGGCCTGCAATCCGCCGCGGGCTTCGCCCCCGCTCCCCCCCCCCAGCGCCCCTTTGAGCGGCGCGCCGCCAGGCGCAGCCGCGCGGCGCAGGCTGGGCCGCCGGCCCCCGCCCCAACCGGCCAGCGACGGCGACGCCACCGCGCGCCAGGCCAGACGCCCACTGCGGCCCCCCAACGGCCCCCGACGGCCTCCGCCAGGCCGTCGCGCCGTCTCATTATGGGCGCCTGCCGCTTGCCTGATTCACCCCGCCTCGGTGGCCGTCTTCCGACCCGCCCTCCGAACCTGGGGGCGGCGGAAGAAGGCCCCTCCTTGCCCGACGTGCTAACGGCGGACCAGCGCCTCGGGCTCTGCGCGCGAGCGTTGCGCCCCCTGCCGCGCGACCTGCCCAGGGCCGCGCGACTCACTGCTGGGGCGCCCCCACTGGCGGTCACGCGCGCCCTTTCGCCGCGCCCCTCGTGGAAGCGGGCGGCGCGTTACCGGCGCCTGTCTTGGCTGGGCGCCTTTAAGCGGCGCCGGGGGCCGACGTGCCCCGACGTCGACAATTCCTCCCGCGCCTGTTGTTACTGCGAATCCGCCCAGCAACTGACCGACGGACGTGCTGCCTCCTGTGGGCGCCAGCCTCTGATTCTTGCCGCCCCTCGGCGCCGCTGCTTCTCCGCCTGCGTCTTCCGGCGCGCGCCGCCAGGCGCGCGCCCCGCGCAGTTTGGGGCCTGCGCGGTCGCGGCGGGCTTCGGCGCGCGAGGGGCCCTAGCTGCGCCCTGGGGCCCGACGTCTGAATTATGCGCTGAGGCCGTCTCGCCTCGTCCGCATTTGCGCCCCGGCAGGGCCGTCTGCGCCGTCGCCCGTCGCGCGCTGCGTGGTTGCAGGGGCAGTCGATGCCCTTCTCGACGGGTTCTGCCGAGCCCGGTCCTCTCTGGGCCCCCGGTCCCTGGGGCCGCTCTCCAGGGCGTGCTGCAGTCGCGAGTTGGCGCTCGCGGCCCGCTGTATAGCCGCCGGTTTCCTGCCCTCTGTCTTGTGGCCCGCGGGGCCGTCTGACACTTCGATTCATGGACTGCGCCGCGGGCCGCGGCGGGGGCCCCCCCCTCGCGGCGCCGTTTTCACGGCCCCGAGGCGCGCGCGCCATGGCGCGCTTAAAGCGGGGGCCTCGCTGCAGCCGCGGGCGCGCAGAGGGGGCGCGCCGCGCCCTCTTCACCGCGCCCGGTGTAGCGTTCCCAGCCGGGATTCGTTTTGATCGCTCTAGGGGGGGTTGCCCCAGCACCCCTGCCGTTCACGCGCGGCACTTCCCGCCATTCCGAGGCAGGCCCGGCGGGGGCTTGTATCCCGCGGGCCTGGGCAGACTCCTGTCCCAAGTCCGTCTCTCTCTCTCTCTCTCTCTCTCTCTCTCTCACCTTCTATCTTTCTGTTTCTCCATCGGTTGCTGGGAATTGGGGGAAAGGGCAGGCAGGAAGGAGTTGGAGTTCAACGATGTTGCCCAACCATCGGTCCCTGCAAGGGATGGTTCTTCAAGCGCAGCCGTCTGAGTAATTCAAGAAAGGGCATATTTCAACCCGCGAGGCTTTCAAAAAGGGAGATGCGTCGCCAGAGCCCGAAACAGTACAATAAACCACCACTTTTGCGAAGTATATTTGTACTGTTTGGGCACTTATCAATGTTTTGATAATCTTAGAACGTGCCCAACCATAATCCCTTGGATTTCGACGCCGCGAATCGACATCAATTGTGCTTCCCGGCAATATAAAATCGTGCCGGAACACCATTCTTGGGACATCAACACTGCGAAACCACGTTGCTGTTGCGTCATGACGTTCCTACATCGTGCCAGGGTACCAATCCGGAGAACTCAGCCTTACGAGTCGTTGAAGCATTTGCACGTTTTTGGGATTAGTGTGCGCGTCGCGAATGCGACAACCACATGTTGACAAAAGAGCTGGCCTCCATCTTTGAAACAGTTGCGAACTTTTCAGGCGAATGTGCTCGGAGTCAAAGCGCGAGCTCCAGTTCGAAAAAGACCCGCCGTTTATTTTTTACATTGCTGCAAGCTTGGGTGACGAAGGTGCGCGGTTCTGAAGCAAAACGCCCAGCCCAGCCTACGGCCACGTCTGGGGGGTGATTGGGGGGGAGTTATCTACAAGGACGAGGTATGGAGCAGAAGACGGAGGAATCTGGCAGCCTCAGTTGTCGTATGGTTCGTTCCATATCCTTTTCACAGTATTCCCACGCGCTGTGGAACTCCCGCGGCATCCGATATATCTTGCGGTGCCACCTGCTGTCAGTCAGACGCCCCCGAGTTGTTCGTGCCCAATGTGTTCGCATCCTACTTTCGTGCGTTCGGGAAGAAAACGGAGGGCGTCAAATATGAGCTGTGCGCAGCTGGCGCCACCCGAGGTCCTGCTGCCGCAGCCCGCTGGCCATGGCGTATACGCCGGGCGCCCGGAACACGTTAAAGCCGCCGGGGCCGCTGGCTCTCCGCGAGAGGACCACGCAGCTCAAAGATCCGGTGACAGGCCTCGGGAGCAGAACGATCCATGTCTGTCAGATGTGACCGGAGTAGATCTTGTCGGGGGTCGAAGTGTTTCGGGGCGCATCAGTGGGATGTGCACTGACGGGGTTCAACCAGTGTTTTCCGATCCTCTCTGGTTGATCCAGGTTTGGGAGCCACTCGAAGCACGTGGTGCCGGCCCCCCCCTCCCCGCCCTCCGCTGGCCCAGGTATGGGATCTTCTTAGGGGCTGTCCCGAGTTCGCGACACGGCCCTTTCTGACCCAGGATGGCGCTGATCCAGGCCAACGCGTCCCCAAAGAAGGAGTAGACGGGGCCAGAGTAAAAGGGCTGGAGGGTCGTGCTGCATCGCCAATGTATCAGCCACATGTGGTGCCACCTTGAGCCCGATTGTCTGCGCTCCGACGTCGCTGGTGCATCAGCGGCCTGTTGCGATTCTCTGACTCTTTAGCCCTATGTGGGAGACCTCCATACGAATCGGGGGTTGATGCATCCATACATTTCAACGCTTCGCTCTTTCCGCCGGCCCGTATTGTGCCATCGCTGGCGCTTGCTCGCGCGTTCGTGGCCCATGCGGCGCTGCTTGGCTTTTTGGGGAGGCGTGGCAACAGCAGGCATGGCGGTGAAGTAGTTGCTTTGATGCTTGTCGTGGGGGTTCTGGCCTCTACTGCTCACCGACATGGCTAGGTTGCGGGTCAGAGTCCTCAGGGATGCTTCTTGGGGTCTCTTCGGAGCGCTCTCGGGGGCTTCTGGAAGGCAGTTCTGAGGACTCTTGGGATTATTTTGGGAGCCTCTTTGGGGTCTTTTGGGGCTTCCTGGGGGGGCGGCCTCTCGGCGGCCTCTTGGGGCCTCTTGGGGGCTTCTTGGGGGCCCCTTAGGGCCTCCTGGGGGCTTCGTGGGGCCAAGGGCTCGAAATGTCCGTTCGGGCCCCCCGTCTGGGCTCTCTCTTGGAGCCGTAACGGAGCCTCTTGGGCTTTTTAGAGGCCTCTTGAGCCATCTTGGGCTCTCTTGGGCCGTCTTGGGGCCCTCCAGGAGGCCTCCTGGGCTGTTGTGGGGCGATTTCGGAGGCCCCTTAGGCCGTCTTTGAGCGTCGGAGAGCTGCAAATGCGAGAGTCCAGCTATTCTGCTATGGATCTGCACGAGACGTGCTGCGACAGTTCCTGTGCACGGGGCGCCCGTGACGCGCCCACGAGTGCTCACCGCGCGAAACCGTGGCCGATCCAGCCAGCGGACGGGGAGCCCACGAGGCGCGCGCCGGCGCACACCGGGCGAAAACTCGGGCGGGCCCACCCAACTGCATTCGGGGGTCGAGAGTTGGGGGTCAGCCAGGGCACCGGATCCTGCAGGGTCCTGCGAAGACCCCCTCTGGCTGACCCGGGTGAGCGAGCCGCTCGTGGCCGCGATGGCGAAGGCCTGCTTTTTGCGGTGTTTTTGCTCCTGCACTGCCGTGGTTGGTTTCCTGCTGACCCGGGTCTGGATCGACCCGGGTCAGAAAGGATCCCCGATACGTACCAATCGCACCAGAGAAAAGCCGTTACCACGGGATGTACCTAAACATTCGCACGAACTCACACGGGCCAACAACATCTGGCGAGAGGAAATGTTGCGCCGCGCCGAGGCGGGAGTTCCCCTGTCAGACGACATCTGCGCGGCGCAGAAACGGAAACGACCTTTTCGCCCCTCGCGCGTCGACGAAGACGCGTGCAACAACTGTGCGCCGCGCCCGAGCGGGAGCTAGAATCTCTAGACAAATGAGCGCGGCGTCGAGGCTAAAGCGACGGTTCGGCCTTTCGCGCGGGGTATTCGTTCTGTATGGCTCCTGCCATGTATTTTGCAATATGGGCGACAGAAACTCCATGATGAGCGCGAAAATGCACGTCTCGTCGTTTCAGGAATAGGATTGGAGGTCCCAGATTGGGCGGCGATCGACCGGCTAGTTAGGTGGCAGAGCCGGAGTACAAAAACAGTGAAGGGTAGGAATCAAATCAGCTTGGCCGGCAGAACGAGTCCGAGGGCCCCATCGCCTGCCCCCCCCCCCCACGACTGGATCTCGCGAGTGGAACGCGCTCCCGCCTTTCGAACGGAAGGCGTCCGCGCGCGGCCCCGCTTCCGACGATTGGGCGAAGGGGAAACTACGCGGACCGTGCATGGGCGGGGGCGGGAGAATTTCGGGTGAGCGCGGCGAAGACGCGCTGTGGGGGGGTCACCATCGCGCAGCTGACCCAGTACGTCCGCGAGAGCTTCGCAAGGTGACGGACGTGCTGGTGGTGAGGCGGGCTCTCGCCACACTTGCTGCTGAATACGCTCCGACGTGCACTGTCATGGTAGCGATCGCTTTCACGGCATCTCTCACAACGGCTTTACGCCTCATCGGGGATTGGATTTTCTTCTGTGTTCCGCGCCTGACGCATTCTCAGCACAATCACCTCATTCATGCATTGATGGGGAATGGCACTCTGCCGTATGCAGTCTGTCAGTCTTTCTCGCATTTTGTCGGCAGCAACGGCCTGATCGGTGGTGATATGAACGGGAGGGCTCGCCTGGAACGCGGGAGGCTGATTGGCGAGTGCGTGGAAATAGTCGGGCTCACGAGCCAGAGAGGCCAGACCCTCAATGGGCGGCTTGGGTGGGTGGCCGGCCACGCGCCTAATGGCAGGGTCGCGGTCGAGGTCCGCCGTGATGATTCACGTACTCACCCCAAGGACGATGACTACGAGCCCGAGGCCATCGCCTTGGATCCCGTCAACGTCGTCTGGTTCGACTATGGCCCCACGCCCGAGACCCTTGCTGGTTTCGACATGGATGAGCTCTACGGGTGCAGGCGGGAACACTGGACGCATTTCCAGCCGTGGCCCCAGGTGGATTTCACCGCGGAGCGCGAGCACGACATCCTCGAGGTGGAATTGGTCATGGCAGATATTGATCGAAAGTACGGCAGGGCCGAGGAGGAGGAGGAGGAGGACGAGTCCGTGGACGAGACGGAGGCCTTGGACTCCTTGGACGAGAGCCCTATTGCAGGCGCAGCCGCGTCTAGCTCAGGAGGCCCAGTTGCCGGTTCAGCTTCCCAGCCTGCCGTTGCGAAGCCTTCCGAGGCCTGCTCGTCCACCGCCTTGCCCGACACCGACATGCCTGCCTGCCCAGGTGGTCTGCACCCGCTACTTTTCGAAAGGTGGCCGTAAAGCGGGAGGGCGTGCAAACTGTGCTTTGGCGAATCCCATCGCGGGACGCCGCAGGCTAAGTCTAAGCGGCACCAGAGGTGAGCTCGGGCAGCTAGTCCCGGGCAACACTGATTTTACTTTGTACTGTTTTAGCTTGTGCTGATCTTCCTTGACAATGCGTGCCCGGTACGCTTTGTGATGTTCCAGCGGTTGGCCGCGGAGTCTCACGTCTTTTCTGTGGCTGGATTACGACGCGTGGTGGGGTGCTCCCCTTCATTGGGGCAACACACCGCCCCTGGGATACCTATGTGTTTGTCGTGGTTGAGCTCGTGGGCGAGATGGTGGTGGGTGTCTGTTGGGACGATGCCGCTTCTTTTTTTTCCCAACGGTTGTGGTCTCGTGCCAGTTAACCGGGTCAGCAGGGTGAGCGCGACGAAGACGAAACATGCGCCGCGCTGACACAGCCCTGCCTTATTCACTTGCAAGAAGCGCGGCGCTTTGGCGAGGAAAGCTTTTCGCCTGCTCTTGCGCTGCCCCGCTGCCGCTGCCGCCGTCGTGCGATTCGCCGAACGAGCCATGCGCCTCGCCCGCGCGGGATCGCCAACTGCGAGCGACATGACCAGATACGTCGGTCGAGGTTGACAAGTTCCCTTCCCGCGCGGTGCTTCAAACATGGCGAGCGAAAAGTATGCGCCGCGTCGTGTCGGGAGCGCCGCTTCCCGATGGAAGCTGTCGGCGCCGCAAAAGGACATCTGGCCACCTGCTCGCCCGCTCGCGCGTCGACGGCACGGTGTGCGAAAACTGTGCGCTGCGCCCCAGCGGGAACTCGGTTGAGGAGGAGGAGGAGGAAGAGGAGGAGGAGGAGGAGGAGGAGGAGGAGGAGGAGGAGGAGGAGGAGGAGGAGGAGGAGGTGGGGGGAGGAGGAGGAGGAGGAGGAGGAGGAGGAGGAGGAGGAGGAGGAGGAGGAGGAGGAGGAGGAGGAGGGTCGGGAGAAGTGGGCGTGGCGCCTGAGCGAGGGCGACAGCCCTCCCTTTCGCGCAGACTGCAACGTGGACGGCATCATGTCCATGTTGGCCGCATGGTTTAAACATGTAGGATTCCCCCCCCCGCTTTGGCAGACCAGCGGCCCAAGTCGGTGACATAATCGGAGTATAACCCAACACAGAGAACGGATCGGTGTCGTAACATGAATAGTGGCGTAGTCGCAGTAAGGGTCATCGTAGCACAAATAACATTCGCAGTCGTCGCAATTGTACTCGTAGAGGGAGGCTAGTCAAAGCAGCTTCGAGCGAGCGCCGCTCGAAACTATCGTATAAACGCCAGAGTTCGTCGGATGCCCCGGGAGGCCCGTCAGTGGTCCCAGGAGGCTCATAAGAGGCATCAAGAGGCTTGCCAGAGGCCCCAGAAGGCGCGTACGAAACCCCCAGAATTCGTCAGAGGCTCCCAGAAGCTCATAAGATGCCACAAGAGGTTCATCAAATATTATAGAAACCCGTACACAGCCCCCAAAGGCTCGTCAGATGTCCAAGAGGCTCATAAAAGGCCCCCGAAAAGCCCCCCGAGAGCACCAGAAAACCGCAAGGACCCTGGATTCGCCAAGACTGCATCAGATACTGCGGCCGGCGCGGACAAGATAGAGCTTCTCTATGGCACGACCTTGGTCAAATTGACGAAACTGGGAAATGGGTCCTGAGAGAAGAATGTTGGGGGCACGTTGTGGGTCTTGGCGCCATCTTCTGGGTGGGTCCCCGCGGCCCCTGCGAGCTCCCTCTTTTGGGCCTCTGTTGTGTCCCTGCTGGAGCCCTCTTGACGGCCGTTTTGGCCGTCTGCGGGGCCTGTGTGCCGCATTGCTTCCCTGTTCAGCCGTATTTTGGCCCTCTTAGGGGCCTCTTGGGCCGTGATGGGCTGGTCTGGGCGGGTATCAGACATTCTGTTCGGATAATGTGTTGTGTCTCTTGAGGCCCTCTTGAGAGTTATCTTTGGGCTCTTCGGGCGCCTTGGTGTTCTGATTGGAACGTCTTGAGGTCATATTAGGTAGTCTTCACTCCTTTCTTGCGTGTTCGAACCCTTCTTGAGCCGCCTTGGAGGGAATTTTGGGCATCTCGGAGGCCGTGTGGATTTCGAAGCTCCGAGGGCCTAGGAGATGCGTTGACGACTTCGACGGGGACGCACCCCCTTAAAACACAATTTTGGATCGTGGGGGGGAGGGGGGGACATGGCGAGATGGGACAGCCACGTGTCCTACAAGCCTTCTTACCTCCGGCAAGCGGGGGTCGGTGCATTTCCTCCTGCTCCGTCCTCCTCATTCCTGCGTCTCTCGATCCTCGTTGTCCACGTCTTCCTCCTCTTTCTCTGTCTCTCCTTTCTCCTCGTCCTTTCGGTCCCCCACTTTCTCCTCCTCTTCCTCTCCCTCCTGGTCGATCTCCTCTATTTCCTCCCCATCCTCCTCCTGGTCCTCGTCCTCCCAATCCTGCTGCTGTTCCTCCTCCTACTCCTTCTCCTCCTCATCCTCCTCCTTCTCCTCCTCTCCCTCTCCTTTGATTATGATTAATTATCCTCTGCCTCCCATTCCTGGTGCTCCCCATGTTCCCCCTGCCTCCTCCGAGCCCAGCCTCTCCACAGCAGTAGATCACTGCACTGGAAACTTGCAGTATTTCCGGAGGCCTTCCGAGGGCGGCGCCGAAAGAGGCCGACATCGTCTTGGATTTCTTCCAGAGGACGTTCCCCGGGGTTACCACGGAAGAGGCCCAGCTCATAAAAAGGTGGGAGAACCTTGGGAATATCTTTGGTGGGCATGCTTCCGCCAATGAGCTCGTCCTCGACAATCCGATGGTCATTCGCAAACACAGCAACAGTGTCACGAATTCGTGGCTGCAGTTGGAGAGATATTTTGGACCAGGCATGGCGAGAAAGATGATTTTCGCGCAGCCTTATTTGCTGACGAGGAGTGGTAGAATAATGAAGGAGTCGCTGCCTGCCCATTTGAACCTCTTTGGCAGCAAAGAGAGGGTTGCTGAGATATCCAGCTGCCTGCGGCACACCCCGCCACCGTGTCAGTGCAGCAGCGCAGCGTGAAGGAGGTTGAGTCAAAGAGTTTACGACTGACTGCATTTCAGCCCGCGGTCTGATCTCGAGTGGGTCTTAAACTCGACCTCGTTCCCTCGACCCTCTTTGGGGCCTCCTGCGAGCCTCTTGGACCGTCTTAGGGCTCTTCCATCCCGTCCGACGTCTTCGGAGGCCGCCTTTGGGCCTCTTGGAGCGCACTTGGGCCGCAATGGTGTCTCTTGTGCCGACGTGGACCCCTCTTCGGGCTTTCTTGAAGGCTCTTGGGCCATCTTGGGGGCCTCGTGGGCAGTTTTGGAGGCATCTGGGGCTGTCTTGGGCTGTCCGAAGTCTGGATCGACGGGAACGCGAAAACGATGGTGTAATGCATGGAAAACATTGAGTTGACCTCCTTCGGGCGTCCTGGAGGGCCTCTTGGAGCCCTCTTGAGCTGTATCGACGGCCTCTTGTGCCATCCTGGGGCTCTCCTGGCCAGTCTGACACTTTCGGATGCCGTATTGGGGTCTCTCTGGGCCGTTTGGAGATCATCTTAGATCGTTTTCGGGCCGTCATGGATGTCCCTTGTTGTGGTGTGGGCCCCTCTTGGGGATTTCTTGGCGGCCTCTTGGTATTGGGGGCCTCTTGGCCCGTCTTGGAGGCCTCCGGGTTCGTCGTGTGCTGGTGGAAGACCGAGAATGCAGGAACGCGAAAGCAATGTACGCGCAGATGTGGAGGTATCAAGGATAAGGGCTTCTTCGGGCTTCCTGGTGGGCCTCTTGGAGCCCTCTCGAGCTGTATCGGGGACCTCTCAGGCTGTCTCAGGGCTCTTTGGGGCTTTCTTCGAGGCATCTTGGACCAGCTTGGAGGCAGCTTGAGGCTAAATTTGATCAGCATAATATTTTAGTGCCGTATGGAGGCCAAAGCGCCGAAATGCACTCCTTGGGGGACTCTTCAGGGGCGCTTGCGGTTCGGAGGTGAGATTGGCTCTGGAATACACTAAAGAGGCCATACCAGACAGTAGAGGAGTATTCTGACACGCCCCAGCTTGCACGCGGCTCGGTGGCGGATTGGTTAAGTACCCGGGGGTATCGCAGGTGGCCGTCGCAAGTTTCTACACGGGGATGGCGAACATGATCGCAGTCACCGGCAGCCCACAAGAGGCCCAGAGGGTCGCAAAGGGTGCCATAGACGATCTTGTCATCCAGTGTAAGGGCAGGAAGCCTATGGTGCCAGAGCCCTACCCGACCTTGGTCGCAATCTTCGGAGGTCACGAGGAGGCTATGAAGGCAATTAACAGGGAGCCCTTGCTCCTCAAGGCCTGGGGCCAGCAGTTCCTCGGCAGGCTCGCGAGGCTGCGCAAGTTCCTGGGGATCGACGGGGCCCAGAAAGTACTGCGCGGTGCACCCTTCCTGCTGCTGGAGGTGGGAATCCAGAGGAAGTCCAAGAAGTTCACGCAGGTGTGGGAGACGATGACGAGGCTGTTCGGTGAGGAGGAGGCCAGGAGGAGCCAGGCGGCAAGACATCACGATACCGCACAGCTTGTGGGGCGCCATCCTGGGCGTCTCGCAAAGATCTGTCGGCAACTCGAGGCCCTCTTGAAGACTCTTGGGAGCCTCTGAGGGCCCTCTTGGCTTGTTTTGGGGTCCTCTATACCTCCAGGGCGCACTCGTCCGGGGCGAGGGGGAGGGGGTCAAATTGCTGGTTTGGAGCCCAGGGGGGGGGGGTATGGGGGAGGACTATTTCACATGCTTAGAGACTCACACGAGGTCGGCGGATTCGGCACGAGTCGTTGGCGATTCGATCCTCGCCGATGCAGCGATTCGATCCAGCTCAGGCCTGGTGGGTGCCCAGCAGTAGCGAGAACAGGGCGTCTGGCCCCAGCAGAGGGTGTAGCAAAAACGTTCCCAGGTCCCTCGAGGTTCCCCGAGTTCTCCAGAAGCCCTTGGTTTCGACACACACATGGGAAGGTTCGTGGTTGTTCAGCCTCGGGGCCGAAACGCTGAACACCGCACCGCGTTGGAACGGGGCCGCAAAGCAGTGCACAAAACCGCGATGGAGTGGTGCTTTACGCACCGTACTTCGCTGGAGCTGTACGGAGGTCCGCGTCGCACATGGTACGGCGCATGTGTTTCGTTCACGCACCTCTCGAGGAGGCTGGTGGAGCGTCCCGAGCTGTTCGCCCTGGGCGTAACCTTTCAGCGCGCCATGGGCTTCGCGGAGAGGAAGCTGGGCTCCGTGGAGGCGGTGCGCGACTCCTTCGACGATGTGCTTCGGCGGACAGGCCTCCAGGATCGGGCGCGGTATGTTCTTGGGGGGGGGACCGGTGTTGGGTCTCTGAGGCCACGTTGGAGCCCTCTTGCTGCGTCTCAGGGCCATCTCGGAAGCCTCTTGGGCCGTCGTGGGTTGTCAGAAGTCCGAAGATGCGAGAACGCCCAAATCATTCTAACACCTCAGGGGGATCTATGACACTGGCTTCGTGTGGCACTTCTGGAGTGCCTACACAAGCCCTGTTAGGCCGCATTGGGGGCCTCTTGCGCCGTCTGGAGGCCATATTCTCGATCTTGGGGGCATCGTGAGCCGTCTTGCGCCGTATCGATACCATCTTTGGCACTCTGGAGGCAGCTTGGAGGCCGCAGGAGGGAAGCTGGAGTCTACATTGGGCCGTCTAGTGGTCATCTTGATGCTCCAGGCGAACCCACAGGCTGGTAAATACGGGTACGTGGTGGGCCAGGAACTATGCTGTTGGGAATGCGCGAACCCTCCCCTGCATACCATAGCCCACTAGCCTCTGGTTCTGTGTTCACCCTTCCAGCCCTTCATGATATCATCAGGCTCTCTACACGACCAGCGCCACCCGGCGCTCGCAACCTCGCACGCAGGGGGCCCGCCGTATTGACCCCGCAGAGTGGAAGCCGCGGCTGGCCCCATCCAAGTTAGCCCACAAGTATTGCATTGTGGCATGTCGTGGGGCCGTCAGGCGGAGGAAGCAGGACAGGAGGAGGAGGAGGAGGAGGAGAGAAAGAAAGAGGACGACGGGGAGAAGTAGGCCCCTTGGTGGCCTCTTGGGGCTTGATAGTTTGGGTATCCTGGGCGCCGCCTAGGGGGATCATTGGGGGCCTCGTCGGAGCCTCTTCGGGGCTGTTTGCCCGCCTCTTCGAGCCTCGTCGGGTCCTCGCGGCCCGTCTTATCGCGTCTGACGCCCTCGGGGGATGTCCTGGGGATCTTTGGGAGCCCTCTTCGTGGCCTCTTGGGCCTGATCTGGGTCTTCTTGGGGCCTGCAGAGCTTTTGGGGGGGCGGCCTCTTGGGGGTCTGCTGACGTTCTCGGGGGTAATCTTGGGGCGCGCGAGATGTCTGTCGAGCTCCCCTTCTGGGGGGTCCTTGTGAAGCCCTCTTGGAGCTGTCTCGGGGGCCTCGCGGGTTGTCTTGCGGCCCTGTTCGGCCGTTTGGACTGCTTCTTTGGGGCTGGAAAGGCGAGAACTCTAAAATCCACCAAGCAAGTAAACGGAACCTCGATTTTGCCCTCTCGGGGCACTCGTCAGGGGCCTCTTCTTGGGGCGTCTTGGAGGCTCCTTGGCCCGTCCGGAAGCTACCTTGGGCTACACATGTTGCAACAGGGTTCGCAGTCTTACCACCTGTGCCAGAAGACTGTGGGGTTGGGAAGTTCGGGGGCTCTGTTGTGGCGCTCTGAAGAGTTCTAAGCAGGGGGGAGGGGTCCTCCTTGCTTCTCCCTACTTCTCTCTCTGCTAGGTTTCCTCCCTCTTCCGCTCCACCTTCCCGCCTCTCACCCTCCCTCCATTGTTCCTCCTCATCCTCTCGCGTCCCTCCATGCACGTCCCTCAGCCGTTCTGGCTTTGGTCATTTGTTGGCTGAGTTTGCGAGCACTGTAACTCAACTGGCTTCAGGCCGGTCACGCTAGCAGGCCAAGCCAGGTTCGCAAACGCTTGTTTTTTTTTTTCCCCGCCGCAAGCAGCGGATGGGGCTCCGCCCGATGTGCTGCCGGGCGACAATCGCCCCTGTGGGGGTGCAAGTGCGCTTGCTGGGACAGTTTAGGCTTCGCGGGTCACATGCGGAGCCACCGCCCCGACCGAGGTGGTCTCGGCCGCCACGGCGTCAACCGCGGCTCTGGTCCCCAGTGGAGGGAACGGTCGGGCGTCGCCCGGTGCCCGGGTCGAGTCTTCCCCTGCCTCGGCTGATCAGGCGCGATGTGCGCAGAAGTCGTCAGGCGCGATGTGCGCAGAAGTCGTCGGGGCCGCCTTGGACGAAACCGCAGCCTCTCCCCAGCAACAATCTGGCAGGTTTCGACGGTGGAGGCTGGAGAAACAAGAGGCTACGGCGGAGAATGCGCCACCCTCGGCGCAGAATACGCGGTGGAGAGCCCTCGCAAGAAGGCGCAGATGGCAAGATGCAAGCGGAAGTCAGACTTGGACAAGGAGCTGGGGAACATCACGGCCAGCATGGAGATCGCAATGGCAGACTTGGTGTTGGCCTCGGGAAGGGGGCGGTGCGCGCGACAAGGTGCGGCCCAGAGGGGGGTCCCTTAGAGGACGGCAAAAGCACTTGGCATTCGAGCACGCCTCACCGTTCCCGAACGTGCCGGGGGGCACGGTGGCGGGCGCTTGAAGGTTAGTTCGCCAGCTTGCCACGGCAACGTGCCTGCACAACCGCCCCTCTCCTCGTCCTCTTTCCTCTCCTGCCTCTTTCTCCGCTGATTGACCCCCACTTCGCACTGCGTCAGTTTACCTACGCTATCTCCCCAGGCGGGTCATTGCATGTTGGTGCCAATCGAAGGCATCCGCTCATTGCACGAGTTTGCCCATTGCAGGTCGGCTTACGTTATGTTCGTAACTAGTCTGTCGAACAATTTGTCTTGATCCGCGGTCCGATCGCCTCGCATTGCCTTCAGTTCTGTGCCAACTGCAGCGCAGTGACCTTGTACCCACGCCATCGCTGGCAGGACAGCTTGCTTACGCAGCTGGACGCTTCATTTGCACGGCTTTTGACGTAGCCCACAGGGCACGATGGTGTCGTCGAGGCTGCCATCGCGCCAGAGTGTCCGGAGAGTCCCTTCCAGGCTTCTGCGTGAATGGGCAGGCCTTTCACGTACCAGTCCTGTCCGCTGACGGGTCGCTCATCGTGTCTGCGAGGCGTCCTCATGCAGGGCAGTCGCGTTGTCGATGTGTTGTTCAGGCTTCGATTCATTTTGCGAGATTGCCTATCGCAGATCGACTTGCGTGGTGTTCTAGATTTGCTCGCTGTCTTTTTGACTCGCCGTTCGTCCATCTACATACGCCATAGGCGCTGCTTGGTGTGAGCTCCCAGGGGCTGGTTCTAAGAGCGCCCGGAGGAAGGACAGCGTGCATTGATCGGAAGCGTTAGGTATGTTTGCATCTCCTTTGTTCTCTCCGCCCTGCTTCGTGCCACAGGCGGTCAGATGCTTCGTGCGCGCTCGCGGCTCCCCTCCTCGTTCTCCTCTTTGTCCTTCTCCCGCCGTTCCCTTCTCCTCGTGGGGTGGGGGCAGGGCGATGCTCCTTCCGCCCCGTTTCGTGCCGCAGGCGGTCAGATGTCACTGAGGGTTGCTCAGGCCTCGGTTCATTGCATGTGTTGCAGGTCGGCTCATGCGGTGTTCTCGTGCATGCTCTTGTGCGTTGCCGATGCGCATTCCAGCTGCATGGTCAGGCCTCATTCCCTCCTCGTCTTCTTCTCCTGTCGTCGTTGTCCCCTAGTCATATTTCTTCTCTCTCGCCTCCTTCCTCGGCTGGCTCCTTGCCCTCTTCGTGCCTTGCCATTATCTTGCAAGGGTGGTGTCTCCCTCCTTTCCCACGGCTCCTCCCCCGTCGGTCTGCCCGTGTCCCGCGCGTCCGTCCGTCCCCCCTTCGCCTGTCCGCTGTCGCTCCTCGCTCCTCGTTCCTCCCTCGCTTTGCCTGGCCCCCCTTTCCGTTGTCGTTCTGGCCCCCCGTATCGTTCCAATTCGGGCCGATTGGGCCTCTGCCTGGCTGCCTGCTGCCCTGACAGGGGCCGTTTGTTTTCCTTGCCTTACTTTTGCTGTTCCGCTAGTGGGCGCGCGCGCGGTCTCCCGCGCAGGCGCTTGACGCCATGGCTATGTGTGTATGTGTGTGTGTGTCTGTGTTTGTGCGTGCGTGTGTGTGTGTGTGTGTGCGTGTGTGCGTGTGTGTATATGTGTGTGTGTGTCTGTGTGTATATGTGTGGCGCGGTGAGGGACGGCAGTGGCAGCCGAGTGGGAGGAGGGAGGAACGACGCTGGGAGGAACGGCAGTGGCAGCCCTGTTGGAGGAGGGAGGGACGGCAGTGGCAGCACGGTGGGACTGGGAGGGCGGGGTGAGCCAGGAGGAGCGCGGAGAGACGGCAGTGGCGGCGCAGTGGGCGGGTGGGCAGTGGCTGCGAGCCTGGGCGGCGATCGAAGCAGCAACCAGCGTCCACACGACGGTATCCAGCAGCGGCACCGTGGCCAGCACGACGTGAACCAGCAGCATCACCGAGAGCAGCAGGACGACAACCAGCACTCCCATCGTGACCAGCACTGCGGCACTCAGCAGCAACACCGCAACCAGCACGACGGTAACAACCAGTACCAACGTGACCGACATGACGGGAACCCGCCGCACCACCGTGACCAGCATGACGGCAGCTAACGACAGCAGCGGCAGCACCGTGACCAGCACGACCACATCCAGCACCATCGTCGCGACCAGTATGATCGCAATCAGCAGCAACACCAGGACCAGCGTGACGTTGATCAACAACACCGACGTGTTGACCACGACATCAACCAACAGCATCACCGGGACCAGCACGACGGCAACCAGCATCACCACCGTCACCAACACGGCGGTAACCAGCAGCACGGCAACCAGCAGCATTGCCGTGACCAACACGTTGGCAACCTGGATCACCGCCTCATCCACCACGGCAGCAACGACATCCTGCCACCATACGTCGTGATGAAGATCGCGGTGTCGGTCGGCGTTCAGTCGCAGTGCCCCCTGGCGTGCGCCTGCAGGTGGCTTGCCAGAACCATGGGGCAGCACCACAACCGACCAGCTACCGACACCAGCATCATAGGAACGACCGACCAGCAGCACCACGACCAGCCATTGATCGTCCCCAGCGGCCAACCAACAGCACCGCGACCTACTCCAACAGCACCGCGAGCAGCTCCAGCAGCACCACGACCAACTTCAGCCATATTTCTGCCGACCCCAGCAGGTCTAGACCAGCACCAGCAGCGCCACCGTGACCAGCACGACGACAACCGGCAGCCCTTCCGTGACCATCAT